GGCATGGCAGCACATGCCTGTAATTCCGGCTACTTGGAAGGCTGAGGTGGAAGGATCACCAGAGTCCAGCAGGTTGAGGCTGCGGTGGCTGGGAGTGGCCACTGCATTCCTGTCTGGGCAACAGAGTGAGACTCCAACTCACACACACAAAAAAAGTGAAATACAGAAGTCCCATATTATTATTATATTACAGTCTATCTTTCCTCTCAGATCTATTAATATCTGCCTTACATATTTAGTGCTCTATTGTCAGGTGCATATATATTTATAACTATCATATCCTCTTAATGAACTAACCCCTTTGTCCCAATATTGTCTTTTTTTTTTTACAGTTTTTTGCTTAAAGACTATTTTAGCTGATATAAGTTTAGACCCTCCTACTCTCTTCTGGTTTCCATTTGCTTGGAATATCATTTTCCATCCCTTCCATTTCAGTCTGTGTCCTCACAGGTAAAGTGAGTCTCTTATAGGCAACATATAGGTGGCTCCTATTTTTCTTTTAAATTTTTTTAGCTCTCATTTTGCAAGTATGAAGGAATGTGATGCCCTTTGTACGCAACTAGCCATCATGGTGCAGGGGAAGTTCATGTGCTTGAGTAGTCTTCAAGAACTGAAGAACAAGTTTGGCAATATTTACATCCTGAAGGCCAAAGTCAAAACTGAAGATAAATTATAAAAAGCAAACTCTCTGTCTTTTGATTGTAGAATTTAATCCAGTTATATTTCAGGTAATTAATGATAGGTAAAGACTTTCTATCACTATTTTAAATTTTTTCTGTTTTGTATATCTTTTTTTCTACTTCTCTTGCTATCTTCTTTGTGATTAAGTGATTTTCTCCAGTGGTATGTTTTGATTCCCTACTTTTTATCTTTTGTGCATCTACTATAAGTTCTTGCTTTTGGTTAGTATGAGGTTTACAAAATCATCTTATAGTTATATTAGGCTATCTTAAACTATTATAACTTTTATCATATTTTTAAAAGCTTTAAACTTTTTCTTCTTCTGCCCCCATTTTAAATTTTTTATGCCACAAAATACTTTCTTTTCTTTTGTGTAGATCTTAACAAATTATCATAGCTACTATTATTTTTTATTGCTTTGTCTTTTATCTTTTATACTAAAATTAGAAGTGATTTGCACACCATCATAATAGCATTAAAGCATTCTTCATTTGGCTGTGTAATTACTTTTACCAGTAATTTTTATACTTGCCTATGTTTTCGTGTTATTAATTAGTATTCTTTTCCTCAGCTAGAAGAACTCCCTTTAATATTTCTTATAAAACAGATCTGGTGGTGATAAACTCCCATAGTTTTTATCTGTCTAGGTAAGTCTTTCTCCCTCTTTCATTTTTGAAAAACATCTTTCTTGGTTTCAGTGTCTTGGTTGGCAGGTTTATTTTTCTTTGGTCCTTTTTTTTTTTTTGAGATGGAGTCCCATTCCATTGTCCAGGCTGGAGTGCAGTGGCACACTCACGGCCACCCCAGCGTCAACCTGCTGGACTCCGGCAATCCTTCCACCTCAGCCTTCCAAGTAGCTGAAACTACAGGCGCACGCTACCACACCCAGCTAATTTTTTATTTATTGTAGAGATGAGGTCTTGCCAAGTTGCCTGGGCTAATCTCAAACCCATGGGCTCCAGCAATCCACTTCCCTTAGCCTCCCAAAGTGCTGGGATTACAGGCTGTGCCACTGAGCCCGGCCTTCCTTCAGTACTTTTAATCATCCCACTCTCTCTTGACCTATAAGGTCCCTGTTGAAAAATATGCAAAGCTAGCATTATTGAATTCCCTTACGTGGTTTTTGCTTTTTTCTTCTTGCTACCTTCAGGATTCTTTTTGTCCTTGATTTTTGACAGTCTGATTATAATGTCTTGGTGTAGCATTGTTTGTATTAAATATGAATGAAGACAACATATTCTTGTATGTAGAAAACCCTGTCTCCATCCAAAAAACTTAGAACGGTTAAGTGAATTTAGTAAAGTTTCAGGATTTAAAATCATAAATTAGTAAAATCTAATGTTTAGTAGCAAAATAGGATGACTGCAGCTAACAATAATTTATTGTATATTTCAAAATAACTAAATCATAGAATTGAAATTTCTAACAAAAGAAATAATAAATGCTTGAAGTGATGGGTATCCCTGTTACCCTGATTTTTTCATTATACACTGTATACTTGTATAATCACATGTGCCCCATAAATATGTGCAACTATTATATAACCAAAAAAATTAAAAATATTTTAATCAGCAGTCTTTCAATAGAATAAAACTAGAAATAAATAATAGAGGGAACATTGGAAACTGTACAAATTCATGAAAATTAAACAACATACTCCTGAATATGTCGGGAGTTACATCAATGAGTCAATAAAGAAATCTTTTAAAATTTAAAATTGTTTGAGATGAATGAAAATAAAAACACAACATGAAAACATATGAGCTACAGTAAAATCAATTCTAAGAGGGATGTTCACAGCAGTAAGCACCCACATTTTAAAAGTAGAAAGATTTCCAACAAACAAACTAAAAATACATCTCGAGGATCTAGAAAAACAAGAACACACCAGAATCAAAATCAAAAAGTCAAAGAAAAAAAATAAAGATCATAGTGGAAGTAAATGAAATTGAAATTAAAAAAAATAAAAGATTAATTTTAAAAGTTGCTTTATTGAAAAGATAAGTCAACAAACCTTTAACTAGACAAAGAAAAAAAGAGAGAAGCTGCAAGTAAATAAAATCAGAGATAAAAAGGGTGACATTACAGCTGATACCACAGAACTACAAAGGATTATTAGAGATTATGATTAACAACCATATGCCAACAAATTGGATAAGCCTAAAAGAAATAGTTAAATTCATGAACAACCTTCCAAGATTGAACTGTGAATAAATAGAAAACCTGAACAGACTAATAATAAACAATGAGATTAAAGTAATAATAAAAGTCTCTCATCAAAGAAAAGCCCAGGACATGATGACTTCACTGCTAAATTTTACCAAATCTTTAAAGAACTAATGCAAAGTCTACTTAAACTATTCCAAGAAATTGAAGAAAAGAAATACTTCCAAACTCATTTTACAAGGCCAGCATTACCCTAATACCAAAGCCAGACAGGAACACAACAACAACAAAAAGAAAGCTACAGACCAGTGTTGAAGAGGCATTTCAATAAAATTTGACCCATCATGATAAAAAAAAAGTACTCTTAGCAAACTGGATATAGAAAGAACATACCTCAAAACAATAAAGGCCATATATGACAAACCCAAAGCTAAC